CTGTCCTCCCTCATCTCTCTTCTCTCCTCTCTCTGCTCTCCTCCCTCCTCCTTCCCTCCTCCACCTCCTCCTCTTTCTTATATTCCTCCTCCTCATCCTCCTCCTCCGCTTCCGCCTCAGACTCTGCCTCAGCCTCCTCCTCCGACTTCACCTCCTCCTCTTCCCCTCCTCCTCCTTCAACTCTTTCTCTGCCTCCTCCTTCTCCTCTCTCCTCTCTCCTCTCTCATCTCTCCTCTCTCCTCTCTCCTCTCTCCTCATCTCTCCTCATCTCTCCTCATCTCTCCTCTCTCTCCTCCTCTCCTCCTCTCTCCTCCTCCTCCTCCTCCTCCTCCTCCTCCTCCTCCTCCTCCCCGCCTCCTCCTCCTCCTCCTCCTCCTCCTCCTCCTCCTCCTCCTCCTCCTCCTCCTCCTCCTCCTCCTCCTCCTCCTCCTCTCCCCTCCTCCTCCTCCTCCTCTCTCCTCCTTCTCCTCCTCCTCCTCCTCCTCCTCCTCCTCCTCCTCCTCCTCCTCCTCCTCCTCCTCCTCCTCCTCCCTCCTCCTCCTCCCTCCTCCTCCTCCTCCTCCTCCTCCTCCTCCTCCTCCTCCTCCTTCTCCTCCTCCTCCTCCTCCTCCTCCTCCTCCTCCTCCTCCTCCTCCTCCTCCTCCTCCTCCTCCTCCTCCTCCTCCTCCTCCTCCTCCTCCTCCTCCTCCTCCTCCTCCTCCTCCTCCTCCTCCCTCCTCCTCCTCCTCCTCCTCCCTCCTCCTCCTCCTCCTCCTCCTCCTCCTCCTCCTCCTCATCCTCCTCCTCCTCCTCCTCCTCCCCTCCTCCCCTCCTCCTCCTCCTCTCCCCGATCCCCCCAAACTCTAATCCTCCTCCCCTCTTTTTCCTCCTCCTCCGCTCGCCTGTCGCCTCCTCATCCTACTCCTCCTCCTCCTCCTCCGCCTCCTCCTCATCCTCCTCCTCCTCCTCCTCATCCTCCTCCTCTCGCTTCTCCCCTCTGGCCTCTCTTCTCTGCCATGTATCCTCTGCCCTCTACCCGCTCTCCTCTCTCCTCCATCCTCTCTCCTCTCTCCTCCCTCCTCTGCCCTATGTCCTCTCTCCTCACTCATCTCTCCTCTACTCCCCCAGCTCTTCCCCCTCCGACTCCTCCTCCTCTTCCTCCTCCTCAGCATCGTTCCTCCCACCTCTGCCTTTTCTCCTCTCTCCTCTCTCCTCTCTCTTCTCTCCATTTGTTCTCCTATCTTCGTTCCTCGCTCCTCCCTCCTGCCTCCTCAATCCCCCACCCCTCTCTCCTCTTTCCTCTCATTCGCCCTCCCTCCTCCCTCCTTATCCTCCTCCTCATCCTCCTGCTCCTCCTCTTCCTCCTCCTCCTCCTCCTCCTCCGCCTTCTCCTCCTCTCCCTCCTCCTCCTTCTCCTCATGCTCCTCATCCTCCTCTTCCTCCTTCTGCTGCTCCTCCTCGCGTCCTCTCTCATGTCTACTCTCTCCTCTCTCCTCTCTCCTCCCCCCTCCCCCCTCTTCCCTCTATCCGCTCTCTTCTCTCGTGCCTCCTCTCTACAGCTACACACTCTGATCCCCTCCGCGTATTGTGTTTGTGCACACAAAATATATGGGACACGGGTTCTCGCTTGGGTGTGTTTCAATATACTGTTCCAGCTGAGGCGCTGGCCTCATTGTCGGGTCTCCGCTCGGTCCGAATCGTGTTCCCGCTGCAACGCTGGCTTTATGTCTGCTCTTCCGCTCGTTCCGACTTGTGTTCCCGCTGCAGCGCTGGCCTTCCCTCCAAATAGGCACTAACATCTAAATTATCCCGGCAAAGCAACCTAACAGCGATGTGTAGAAGCATATCTGAAAGCCTTCCCCTTAAGAGTCAGATGAAAATCCAGTTGTAGAATTATGTTGTTCTCGCAGTCGTAGTCGCATTCGCGATGACAGTCGCAGCGGCAACGGCAGTCGATGTCACAGCCTAAACCGCAGCCTGCCTCAGCCTCAGCCTCAGCCTGCCTCAGCCTCAGCCTGCCTCAGCCTCAGCCTCAGCCTGCTTCAGCCTCAGCCTCAGTCTGCATTCAGCCTCGGCCTCAGCCTCAGCCTGCCTCAGCCTCAGCCTGCATCAGCCTCAGCCTCAGCCTCAGCCTGCCTCAGCATCAGCCTGCTTCAGCCTCAGCCTCAGCCTGCCTCAGCCTCAGCCTCAGTCTGCTTCAGCCTCAGCCTCAGTCTGCCTTCAGCCTCGGCCTCAGCCTCAGCCTGCCTCAGCCTCAGCCTGCCTCGGCCGCAGCATCAGCCTGCCTCAGCATTCAAAATGTGGCCCAGGAACGGAGTTCTGGGAACTAGAAGAACACGAAGTGGCCTACAGTTGGCTCCGGGCATTCAAAATGTGGCCCGGGAATGGAGTTCTGGGAACTTGAAGAGCACGAAGTGGCCTACAGTTGGCTCCGGGCATCCAAAATGTGGCCCGGGAATGGAGTTCTGGGAACTTGAAGAGCACGAAGTGGCCTACAGTTGGCTCCGGGCATCCAAACTGTGGCCCGGGAATGGAGTTCTGGGAAGTCGAAGAGCACGAAGTGGCCTACAGTTGGCTCCGGGCATTCAGAATGTGGCCCGGGAATGGAGTTCTGGGAGGTCGAAGAGCACGAAGTGTGTGCCTGTTTGCGAAAAACGAGTGCGGCGGCAGCCGCGGCGGCAGCCTGTCCGGGTCCCGCCCAGACCCCCCTGAGGAGTCATGATGCTCTCTTTTGAGACCACTAGAAACCTATCAGCAAGAGCTGTTAGGTAAAAATGGCACCCCGAGCAAAACCATCGGAAGTGCTTACACATTCGGCATCGAGTCGTTGAATTCTGGGGCCGCAGAAGTCCCCCCCCCCCCTTGGGGGCGCCGTCGCTTTCAGGAAGTATCAAGCGGGAGCCCCGGGTCTGCTTTGAGGAGGCGATGTTGGAACCAGGGACAGCGGGTGCTCTCCATCAGCTCTGCCTTGCGGAGCTTTTCGGGGAGCCCAACGAGCTAGTCATGGAGCCACTACTAGCTAGCCATGTGCGGTGCCATGCTTTGCGTTGCAATGCTTTGTGATGCAATGCTTGGCATGCTATGGCATGCTACGCTCTGCCGTGCTCTTCCAATTACGCCATCCCGTGCCGTGTTCTACCTTGAATCGCGTATCCTCTCGCGACCATTGCCCTGCTCGACATCCGACTGTGCGAATAGGACGTCAGATGACGCGAGCGTGCCTAGCTTGCCTCTCTCCTCTCTACTCTCTCCTCTATCCTGCCTCCTCCCTCCTCCTTCCTCCCTCCTCCCTCCTCTCCTCCTCCCCTTCCTCCGCCTCTTCCGCGTCCACCTCCTCCTCCCCTCTCGTCCTCCTCCTCATCCTTCTCCTACCCCTCCTCCTCCTCCTCCTCCTCCTCCTCCTCCTCCTCCTCCTCCTCCCCGTCCTCTTCCTCTCGCCCCTCTCCTCTCTCATATCTCCTCTCTCCTCTCTCCTCTCCTCTCTGCTCTCCCCTCTCTCTTCTCTCTCTTCTCGCCTTTCTGCTCTCTCCTCTCTCATCCCTCCTCTCTCGTCTCTCCTCTCTCCTGTCTCATATCTCCTCTCTCCTCCCTTCTTTCTCCTCCCGCCTCCCTCCTCCTGCTCCTCCTCTTCCCTCCACTCCTCCTCCCCTTCCTCCGCCTCTTCGCCCCTCTCTCCTCTCCTCTCCTCCTCCTCCTCCTCCTCCTCCTCCTCCTCCGCCTCCCCTCGTCCTCCTCCTCCTCGTCCTCCTCCTCGTCCTCCTCCTCATCCTCCTCTTCCTCTTCCTCCTCCTCCTCCTCCTCCTCCTCCTCCTCCTCCCCCTCCTCTTCCTCTCTCCCCTCTCCTCTCTTTCCTCTCCTCTCCTCTCTTCTCTCTCCTCTCTCTCCTCTCTCTTCTTTCCCCTCTCCTCTCTCCTCTCTCATAAATCCTCTCTTATCTCGCCTCTCTCCTCATTTCTCTCTGCCTCCTCTCTTCTCTCTTCTCTCTCCCCTCTCCACTCTTCTCTATCCTCTCTCCTCTCTCCTCTCCCCTCTCCCCTCTCTCGTCTCTGCTCCTCCTCCTCCTCCTCCTCCTCCTCCCAACTTGTCCCGAGCGAATATCATCCGCCTTATCGCCCTCCTTCTCCTCGTCCTCCTCGTCCTCCTCCTCCTCCTCCTCCTCCTCCTCCTCCTCCTCTCCTTCCTCCTCATCCACCTGCCCCCATTCCTCCTCTTGATGGTCCTCTTATTCCCCTTTTCTCCTCCTCATCCCCCACCTCCCCCTCCTCCCTCCCTACTCCTCCCCCCCTCACTCCCCTCCCACGTATCCCCGCCTCCCCAAAAATTCCACTCCCCGCCCCGCCCCCGCGCGCGTTGGAGTGCAACGAACGCGGGTGGAGAAGGAGGGAGGAGGAGGAGGAGGAGGAGGAGGAGGAGGAGGAGGAGGAGGAGGAGGAGGAGGAGAAGAAGGAGGAGGCAGGAGGCAGGAGGGACGGAGGTGGAGGAGGATCAGAGGAAACGGGCGGGAGAAGGGGGGGGGACAGGGCTCAACCGACTAGTTTGGATGTAAACCGACTGGTGCCCAGTCTGGCCAGCGACCCCATGTGGGTTTGGGTTTAGGACTAGGCGCATGTAGTATGCCGCATGCTCGGAGGGTGAGGGAGAAGGAATGGGAGAGGTTGCGAAAGGTGGACTACGATGGAGACCACGATGAGCAACTCCTCGACCACCACAACGACCACGACGAGGACCACACCAGGGGGACGACCGGCACGACGACGACTATCACGTCCACAGCGAGGGCCAGGACGACGACGACGCCAACCACGACGACGACGACAATGAAGACGACGACGACGACCACGACGACGACGACCACGACGACCACAACGACGACGACGACGACGACGACGACGCCCACGGCGACCAAGACGACGACGACGACGACGACCACGGCGACCACGACGACGACGACCAAGACGACCACGACGACGACGACGGCGGCAGGGACTATGACGGCGACGGCGACGACCTCGGCCCCGAGCCTGGACCTTGTGGCTCGAGGGCTCGTTGGCCCCCTGCTCGGCCTCGGCCGCCTGCGTGGCGCTCGGCGCCCGCCGACCGGCTCGGCTTCGCCCGCCGCCGTCGCAGCCGCAGCCGCAATCGCCGTCGCCTCCCCCCGGGGGGGGAAAGGGACTGTGACTCCGTTGGGCCTGTGATGTGCGGGGCTCGGTCCTCGAGCCGCAGAAACATCCCGTCGCGTGCGCTCTCCGCCCGTGGGCCTCCCGGCCGGCGCGACAAGGACGTGGACCGGTGGTCCTCCCTGGCCGTCCTCCCCGGGGGAGGGAGCAGAAACCGGGCGGACCCGTGGGACTTCTTCGAGGCGCGTGGGCCCCCAGACCGCTTGACACCTCCTTCGGTCCAGCTCTTCGTCCCTGGGCAAAGCGTCTCTTCGCGGCCCCGGAGCCCGAGGCTGGCCGAGGAGGAGGGAGGAGGGAGGAGGGAGGAGGAGGTGGACGCAAGGTACGGAGGCTGGAGAGGACGCCCCCTCTCCCTCTCCCCGGGATCTCCGAAGGCTCGGTGGGTTCGGCTCTCGGCGAGTCCGTGCCACGGTCCTCTCGGCCCTTTCTCCCCCTGGAGCGGGCCTCTCGCCCCGCGCACCTCTTCGTGGACGGCCTCGGGGCCCGGAAGCGGCCTCTGGGGGCAGAACGTGCTGAAAAAATCGTGAGCTCGGAAGCTCCAGCCTCCGGGGGCTTCGCAGGCCCCCGACGTCGTGGTCTGCCGCAACGTGGACGCCCCTCAGCGTGGACCCCCAAGAGATCTGGGCCCCTGCTCCGGGACAGGCTTTGAGCAGTGACCGACCGTCCCGGCATTTCTGTAGGCCTACCACGACATGTTCTTAGAACACCAAAAACGTTCTAAGGCAGTCCCAGCCAGAAATATTCTAAAAGCATTGCGTGGAAACCACAGAGGGTTCTTAGAACATTGCTTGGTAGGCCTATAGGCACGCCAAGACACTTCGCCGCTGCTTGACAGAGGCGGGCGCAACCGTGGCGACGAGAAGCCCCCCCCAGGAGGCTTCACGCGTCGGGGGGACCCCCGGGAGGACAGCGCCGAAGGGCCGGAGGTGAGGCCAATGGCACATCGCTCCACGCTCCAGACGGCCCCTGGAGAAAGAACATGACACCGGCCTCGAGTCGGTTCCGTTCCTCGGGGGGCAGACAAACGTGTCGATGGCGCACCCCCTTTGGCAGCCTGTCAGCGCGCTGCTCCTGAAGAAGAACCAGGACAAAACACAAAGGAGGGCACATTGCGGCAGCGTGCCATTGATGCTCACAGCTCCTCCTTCCCCTCCTCCTCCTCCTCCTCCTCCTCTTCCTGCTCCTCCTTCCCCTCCTCCTCCTTCTCCTCCCTCCTGCTCCTCCTGCTCCTGCTCCTGCTCCTCTTCCTCCTCCTCGTCCTCCTCCTCCTCCTCCCCCTCTTCCTCTTCTTCCTCCTCCTCCTTGAAGGTCATTAGTTCTCAGGGGGAGAGACGCCCTAATGACTGCGGTCGCAATGCACGGCCGTATCAGCTCAAGGTAGCACTGCGGGCGCAGTCGCGGCCGGATTCGAGGCGGCGTCTTTCGTCCAGCGGCTCTCCCCCTGAGAACAAATGACCTTCAAGGATGAGGAGGAGGAGGAAAAGGAGGAGGAAGAGGAGGAGGAGGAGGAGGAGGAGGAGGAGGAGGAGGAGGAGGAGGAGGA